CAGCAAAACACGAAGGTCCAAACAAGACTTGAGGACCCCAGTAAGGAAAAGAAATTCTCTCCAGCCTTTCTAGCCACAGCTAAGGAGATGCTTTCTCTGAAGGGAGTGTTTCCCCAAATTGTCCTTAATAAGGGACTTCTAGTCACTGAGTTCAGCTCCCTGCAAACTGGACCCCTTAACACAAAACACCTCCACTCCATGCACCACAGGTGCTGCCTCTAGCCTGCAATCTACTTGAGGCCAGCTGGAAAAATGGAGAAAACCGCATGAACTTCATTGTGCTCCTGGTGGTAGGGTTTCCTATGTGATGCATTAAGGTGTGAATGTGTATGAACAGAGACAGGCTTCCCCTGGCCAGCTGTAACATCAGCCGCAGGAGAGGGAGATGGCAGCGTTTGCTCTTTCATCAGTGCTCACTCCTCTCTCTTTTCCCTGTTTTCCATCTCACCCAGAATACTGGTGTCGGGACGGCTGGAGCAGCGAACGTCTTGAAAGTGGGACAGCCGGGCTCCCGTGGGCACTCATGAAGCAGTCTGTTCCTGACCTGCTCTGACCTTCACAGGGAACTGGATGCCCTTCATCACTCAAAAAACCATTCACAGTTCCTCTCCTCTAGCCTCACCTGTTTCCTATGTGACTCAACAAGCTGCAGTCAGGCTTGGCAGGAGTGCCCCTGGGAACTGCGCTGGTACATGCCAAGCTGAACTCAACCCTCTCTACCGATAGCCTTTTCCATATAGGGATGACTTGTTTATACGGTATTTACATATTATTGTGCAATATCCAATGCAGGGATGGGGTGATTGGGGCTTCACGTATTTTTAATCAGTTATTTAAGTGTTACCAGGGTGAACAAGCTGTGAGTGCAGGTGCTGGCCCCAATGGGCTTTTATGTAAGACCCAGCCCTGTTGGTTTCCTCAGCTCATCCACACAGCTGCAGGAGCAAACGCTGGTGCTATACAGAAACCGCTGCCCCTTGGGAGAGCGGAAGGCAGCCATTGACAACTTTCTTCAGCTTATTCTCAGTTTACAGTGGGTGGCAAGTAGGGCCACAACAGGGAGCAAACCATGGAAATATTCCTGGTTAAAACAATTTGTGGGTCACTGTGGATTTTGATTAGTTTTAATAGGGCAGATTAATTATTTTCCCCATATAGCCATCTTCAGCAAGTGTTGCAACCTGTCTATCCTCCAGCACTCGCTTGTCTTGCCCCAGTGCTGTAAGACCCGACAGCATCCCCAGCGTGGCCCGTGCGCTCTCATCCGTGTCATTGGGACACAGTCAAGGTACGACAGGGAAATCCTCTGACCAAGACAGAGAGCAAATGGCCAGAAGGAAGCTCAGCAAAAGCCAGTGCTGAAACCTCCTCTCCAGCATACGGTACCATGGATCATCAGTAGACACTTTTGCACGTGTCTCCTCAGGCTTCGGTCTGTGGTGAGCAGTAATTCAGCAGGGGCTGTCTGCTCCCCATACTAGTGAGAAACCTACCTTAAAATTGCCCAGGTGGTAAAATAGCAGAAATCTTAATGCAACACGTGGTGCTTTTGTAGGGCAGCTCATTTACTCCAGGTTTTTTCTCCAGGACATGGATGGAGAGAGCTGTCTGTGTGCACTTTAAGCAGCTGATGGTTCTGACCCTGAGGACCTTCCCTTACGAATTTGTTGGTTTTTTTTTCTCCTAATCATTTGGGCTTTCGTATATTTTTTCTCAGGATTTTAAATTAAGACCTTTTGTTATGCCAAATTTTTTTCTTTTTTTTTTCCTTGAAATGATTTCCTAGGAGAGCACAGGGAATTCTGGAGCTATGGTTACAACAGTTCTGTTGTGTCTGATTTATTATGGACAAATCCTCAGTGTGATTGCTGCTGCACATGTGAGAAACTATTATTGGCATAAAGAAAGAGTGTCTTGTCTGATAGTTCTCTTTCCCTAAGCTCTACTGATTGGAAAAAAAAAAACAGATAAAGCCTAAGCACTCATTAAATTTGTAGTTATATGTAGCAGTATATCTGTAGGATGACTTAAACCACGCTAGTTTTCACAACTTTACTACCTCTTTCTCCACAAGGAAACAGTACACAGGGTGTGTCTTGAATTTCTGGTTGATTATTCCTTATCTTGATCATTTTGGACCTTTTCTTACCTTCTATATGCCTGGAAAACAAACCAACCTGAAATACTTCTCTCTGAAATAAGGGATGGCAAGTGAAAGACATAGCTTTCTAATCTTTATATGTCTTTTTCTATAGTTGGGGTATATTATATTACATATAAACAACCTATATTCAAACAACCCCCAGACTTGTTGTTTCTTGGGGTGCAGCTAATGTGGCTATGTAATGGCATGTTTTACTGCTCACAGCTGGAGCAGTAAGCTGGGCACATACTGTACATACATTGCAGTAGTACAGATTCAACCACAAAAACTTGATCTTATATCTGAGCCCTTGCTAAAGACAGCAGCATACTTCTGCTACAGCCCCTGATCTTTATCAAATGGCCAACAAAAATCATGAAGAATATTTTCACTGCATTTCATGTGAACATGACATCAAGCTTTTAGAAAATTCTACCCGACACACAAATCTCAGAGAACTGGACATGCCCAAAGCGTAATCGAAAACTATTGCTGGAATATCATAAAGTCTCCAAAATGTAGTTTTAAGTAAGTCCTTTTAATTTCTGATATGTGTCCAAGTTGAGTGAATAAGAATAGGGGAACTGCAGGAGTAAAAGATGGTAAAATGTGATTATTTTTTTTTTTTAAAAGATGTTATTTGGAAGAACATATACCAAAATACATCTCACTTTCTCCTGTGTCCACATATTAATGGTTTACAATAATGCTCTCTGTGTATCTATGCAAATACTTGAAGAATGCAATTCATTGTGCCTTTTGCCTAGTTTTAATAAATTTGTCAGTTGTCATTAACAAATATTCTGTCACTGTGTACTATTTTGGTTCAAATCTTGATTTTACACGTGGCATTTGTCCAGAGATGGCAGGATAGCTGGGGCAATGGCTTTTATGAAATGCAGTTCTACGCAGTGAGAAGGATGAGTCTCGTTTACAATCTATTTCTGAAATAAAACGCATAAAACATTACACCAATTAGGATGCCAAAACCAAAGCCAGTGAATTACTTGGATTATTTTCTGCTACCAAAGGAGGGCGCTGCTGTTTTACTCTCTGCCCCAGATGCTCTTTCTGCTGTAAACTGTCCTTCAAGCCCGTTTACCCTTTACGGCTACACCAGTAAGATCAGAGAAAGCATTAAAAACTTTCAGATACAGCTGCAAGGGTTGTTAGTTTTTTGGGTTTTTGGTTTTTTTTTAGAAAAAGCCTTTATTTCCCTTTCCACATTCCAAAAAAAAAAAAGTACTGAAATGTTATTAGAATAAGAGATTGCATATTCCTCTCCCCCCCCAACCCCAAGTTGCATTTGCTCAGCGATGCTCAGACCCAGGTATAATCAGGTCAGCATCTCAGCATCAGTGTGTGCCGTGGTCCAGGGCCAACCCAGCCAGAGCTTCCTCTGGACTAAGCCAGCTTGGCAAAGCCAGCTTAGGCTTTGCTGCTCCCAGTTTAGGATTTGCTGTGAGAAAAATGAGCTCCAGTCTCCTTGTGCTATAAGACCTAGCAGCAAGATGGGAGAAACATTTAACTGTGGTAATACCTTCTCTTTTCACCTCCCAGCTCAAAATGTTATTTCTCCCATCCCTTCGCCCTCACCGTTGATATACAACCAAGGGGGTTTTGAAGGTGAGCTGTGAGCAAGAGTCCAGGTAACATCTGTACTATATTGAGAAAGATGGAGAGGGGTGAACAGGACCGCTCTGGGATAAACTGCTCCCTACAGCTCTGCAGAGGATCACCCGCTTATGCCTGTTTGGCTTTTAACATGCAGCTCAGGCCTCCCTCTAAACAAACAAACAAAAGAAAGAAAAGCTTCTGGGCTTAAATAATAGCAGGACAGGTCATGGGGCTCAGAGTTGGGGGCCTCTCCAAGGTCAAGACATTTCCTAAGAAAAAAAATACTTAAGATTTACAGCCACTTGGACTTTCAGGCTGAAAAGACTTTCACAGACCACAAAAAATCTTGAAGATGGTGCCAGTGTTTCTCCTGACATGGGGTTTACCCTGCCAGAGCTCCCCAGCCTGAGCAGGAGCAGCCCCTTGCTCTGGTGAGGTCTGGATCAGGCCCAACAGCTTCACCACCAACATCAACATAGCCCGGGCACCGTAGCTACTAAGGAAGAAAACCCAAACAAACCAACCCACCCATAAAACTAATTAACACTGTACTGCAGGAAAGCTCCTGTACCTCACAAGAAACAAAAGCTGAAAAAGATTTCTCTGCCGTGGTCCTGTAAAAATGCTTCATGGCTTGGGTCCTGCTACTGAGCCTAAGTGAGCATCTATTCCAAAATTCACCATGTTTTGCCCATATTCACCAATATCCTTGTCCCATATCTGCAGAGCAAGTAATTAAACATGGATGAGCGCAGTCTGAATAGCAGGTGTGCACCATTCAGTCCTTGTCTCTCACCTCCGTTTGAGATAGTGGCGTGTATTTTAGAGTTCATGCAAGTGTCTAGAAAGGAAAAGAAAAGACAAAAAACACTAATCAATTACTCAAGCAGGGCCTGGAAATAAACACATCAATGGCCACCCCGGGGAAGAAGTGCAAGAGTAAACATTAGCCCTGCCAAGAATAAGAAGGGGCCTCAGAGAAGAGCTTTGTCCCAGGAATACCGTATTTCAAGAGGATTTTCATTTTCAGTGGCTGCAGGTATTAAAGCCCAGTGAGGATTAAACATACCCCTTGCTGCCACACCATGATAAAGATCCAATCCAAAAGACTTGGCTTGACTCCGCCAAGCTTTGGATAAGACACTGTTGGTTTTATTCTCTGCTTTTCCTTTTTTAAATCGCCTCACTGGCATCTGGAATATTAACATCAACCCATTCACCCAACCTCGCATGTAACACGCTAGGTATAGATCATGAATACTTTGGGTTTATCCTCTGGGGCGATGCTGGAGTTGTCCACCTCTATCAGGATGTTCTTGTCATCTCGGGTGACCGGCGCTTGCTCTCCGCTCTGGAGTACTTGTCGTAGACTCCCTAAGCTGACGTCCATGTCTTTGAAGGCATGGAGTAAAAATACCCCCAAAATGATGGTGAGGAAGCCACAAACTGTTCCGATGATGTCAACTACGGTCATGGTGACCCACTCCTTAAAGAGGATGATGGAAGTTGTGATGACGATGGTGGTGAACAGCACATAGTAGATGGGAAACACCAAAGAGGTATTGAAAATGTCTAGAGACTTATTGAGGTAGTTAATTTGTGTAGTGATGGATGCCACCAGCGTGATGACTAGGATCCACGTCAATGGGTGCTGCAGCACAGGCCGGCCAGCAAAGAAGCCCTTGATGGCAATACCCAGGCCCTTGACCGAGGACACGGAGAAGGCACCAATAACAGAGCAGATGGTGAGGTAGACGAGGATGTTGCTCTGGCCATAGCGGGGTCCGAGGTAGAAGATCAGGAGGAAGCAGACAGCCAAGAGGATCGCAGCATAAGCGAGGAAACCTGGAAGAGGGAAGGAAGCAACTCAAAACTGAGCAGCGGGCATGGGGAGCAGTATGTGCTGCCCAGCGCCGAGAGAGAAAACACGACCTCCTGTGTACCTGGCTCTTTCAGCTTAGAAGACATTTCATCCAGAGTGGTGACCTCCTCATCCTCTGGGGCGTGTATCACCATCACGGTGCTGCCCACAAGGCTGAGCATGCAGCCCAGCTTTCCCAGCAGGTTGAGCCGTTCTCCAAGCAAATACGAAGACAGGATGGCACTGCACAGCACAGAAAAATGTCAGCTGGTGCTTTAAAGTCCTTTAAAGAAGGAATAACAGCTAAAATAAGGTAAAGAATGCCTTCATGTGACACAAATTTGGAGTGAATGTGTTGGATTCCAGTGTGTTAATACACAATCACATTGCATCTACTGACAGCCGAACCCGCAGAGGTGCAGGTGTGATCTATAGATCACAGTTCATGTACCAGCAAGGTGAAAAAATGCTGAATGTGTTAGCACATCCTCAGAAATATTTTCAGGGTCTACAGATGCACTCATGAGCTGTTAGGTATTATGAAGCCTTTAGTGCCCAAGTCCTTCGAGGACCAGTGTAACAGTGAAAAAAACCCCAACCTAACAACAGAAGAGTTACATTAATTTTAACTAAATCATCAGAACTATTAAGCCCCAGAGAAACTCAAGGTACTGGGGCTATAGATACATCTGCAAAAATATCTAGTTATTGTCCATAAAAATTTGGGACCAGACTGGTCCCATTTCACAGTAACAGTCCTTCTACAGAACCTTCAGTACCTGGAGTCATGTATTTTGATATGAATCTCCTTTTTTAAAATAAAGAAATAAAATAGGGTTTCAGCCCTTTTGGCAACAGACAGAAGTATAAAAACAAAACATCAGAGCACCCTAAAAGCCTAGAAAATAAAAGGCAAACAAAAGACAGTATAAAAACAAGCCTGATATTTTTGACCCTTTTAGATTTTTAGTACTGTTCACTACAAGAACAAAACAAAACAAAAAAACCAACCTTCAATTGGCTAATGAACTAGAACAAGGGAGGAAGTGACACTGATATTCGCAATAATTTAACCTGAAGTGTATGTGGCTGCTATCTACATGCAGCATTTGCAGAAGGGCATGCTACTTAATTCAGCGGTTTCCAAATGATCCTCCAAAAGGACAACAACTGTTAGAGCGATTTTTAGAAAACACTGAGACATTTTTTCCTTTAGGCAGAATAAATCATATTAGCATCACTTCAATCTTTCTATCTTACAAGACAAACAGGCAAACAAAAAAAGACAAACTATAGACATATAAATCACCTTATGAGCACACTCAGAGCCCCCAGAGGCGTGACAATAGTTGCAGGAGCAAAGGCATAGGCGGCAAAGTTGGCAGCTTCCCCTCCACCCACTGAACAAACACAAGAAAAATAAATACCAGTAAGTTATAGTATACCTTTTGTGTTTTCTCTTGTGGGCTTGCAAACTAGTAAGATGTCAGTTAGAGAGTGGATTTTATTATGGGGGTTTCATGCTGCTGCTAAACAGGACCAGATAGTGGGTGAAAATCTCTCCATTACAAATTAATGCAAGCAGAGCAGCATCCCTGGAACCCTGCACCCACACGGAGAAGGGCTGGAGGGTGCCAGGGCTTGGCCATGTCACAGCTGATCCATATTAACTCATTAAACCCCCAAAGCCCAGGCAGGCAGCTGCAGTGTGTCTGGGTGATTAATGAGGGGGTGGGCTGTTATGGGAGCTGCTGGGAGGCTGCTCCTTACCTACAAAGTGTCTCCTTGAGGTTGATAGTGTTACTCTCTGGCTGAGCTGTCCTTGTCCCTTGAGCAGCAAGTACTGTGTGTTTGCTTATGGGTTGTGCTCTGGTGGTTGTGCAGTAGGAGCTGCAAGGGCAGAGTGCGGTGGGGACACCTTGAACTGTTGCTGCAGTACTAAGAGCTAGAAAAGACTGCTCTGAAAAACCCTTTGCTGCTCTTTGGACAGCTGTAGTCCAATTTGAGAAGATACTGTAATGTTGCAGTATGAAAAGAAGGATTTAAGGCTTCCTCTAAGGCAAAGAAAGCTTTGCTTGAGAAAGGAGCTGCTACCCACACCTCTTTGCTATCCTCCTTGTGCTGCAGCAGTAACCTTGCCTGGAGTCCCCAGGCACACACAGGAGGCTGTTTGCCCTGTGCCTGGTATGCAGAGAGGCCAGCCAGCTACCTTATTAAAACCTGGCTTTTCGTGCTTTCGATCAGGTAAAACTGAGCTAGCAAGTTCTACCAGCCCTGCAGGAGGATGGTGAGGGCAATCCTGCGTGGCGCACTGTCTCCACTCTCCTTGAGGTACCTCTGCTGATGATGGGGGAACTTGCAAGAAAAAAGGCTTCAAGCCACCAGATGCTGGGCTTGTTCTACACCTGATTCACAGGGACAGACCCTGGAAAAGCTGCAAACCCAGGGAAACAGCTTCTACTTACTGGTTAACAAGCCAGCCCACCAGAGCCAGTCCTTTAGGTAGCCGTGGCCTCCATCTCCTGGGGAAGCAAAGTACACAGGTATGCAGGAGTTAACAACCATGTTCTTCGGAGTAAGAGATGAGAAATGTCCCTTTGGAGAGGGATAAATTGCAAGGGGAAGAGTGTGGCAAAGAAAACAGCCTGGAAGGACAGAACATGCAGGCATGCCATCCTATGTGGAAATTATGTTGAGTCAAGGGATTAGCAGAAACTGGCACTTAGGGCTGGAAGATGCATATACAATAAAAGCAGTTGTTTAATGGCACCCACTGCCCCAAAGCCACAGAGGTTATCAGCCCGGGATGAAGCCACCCCTGCTGCAGCATGGAGTTTGGGGCTGCCCTTCAGCCCTGGGACCTGTGGGCATCCTCGCTGGTTCATCAGGGCACATCAGTCCCTAAACCCAGCGATAAACACTGCAGCTGAGGCCCCATGGACTCGTCATGTTTCATCTTGCATGTTCCGCTTGCCTGTTCACTATGGGATGCTCCTGGAGCAGAGGGATGAAGGATGGCAGGGCCTGCCCTGTGCTGGGTGCCCCCCACCCAAAGGCTGCTCCCTGGGACACTGCCACCCTGTGTCCTGCCTGCGGAGACCCTGCGCTTTGCTTCACGTTGCACCAGCTCGCTGCGGAGTCTCACGTATGGGCCCTAAGGTAAGGCAATGAGTTTTTCCAAACCCAGCTCAAGTGGGGGTTATAGCTATGAAAGGTGAAGGTGGGAAAAACCGGCTGGTTGCTCTGTGTGGACATGTGGTGCTTTAGTTTGTGTTGCTCTACGGTCATGGTGAAGGCTTTCTGCGTCCTCTGCCAGAAGCTATCTGCTCCTTTTGTACGCTGCTTTTTATCATAAGGCCTCAGCCTGAACTGCCAGAAATCCTAATATTAACTTTATGTGGAACAGCCATTATGTGACCAAGCGTTTCTGATGAAAAATGATTCCTGGCATTGGAACAACTCAAAGAAAGAAAATGTGCATATAAATGAGGGAGAATGGACAAACTGTGTTGGGAGCTAATCCAGCTCTGGTCTTAACCCACAGGCTGTTAGATGTAAGGAGCTTGAGCCTGCTGACATTGTGAACCCTGATTTTACTGGGTCAGAGACAGCCCATGTTTTTGACAAGTGTGACCTGACCAGAGCTGTCAGTAACAGCAATGTTTGACCTGCCTTGGAGAAAAGTGGTGTGCTCAGATAGCAGGGGTGAAACATGGGGACTGAGAGATTAAAGGGTGAGATAGGAAAAGGGGGAAATGATGAGGCGGACAGGAATCTGCTAGAATTCAGCCTGTTCTCGTTCCTCAAGTTCAAATATTACATTTTGGTATTCCTTAGAAATTGCTGTGTTGTTTTCGGTTTTGTTTGGTTGGGGTTTTTTTCCTCAAGAACTCTGTCAGCTGCAATTTTCTGTCATTAATCCCTAATTCCTGGTTAAACATCCTGAAAAATAGGGAGGGGTTTGCTCTTTTTTTACTTGCTTGGCTCTGTTGTGGGAGAAGTTCACGGAGAGAAGGAGGAGAGAGACATCATCTACAATTGAAACAATACCGGTATTTCATTGCACAAATATAAGGCAAAAAGCAAACCCATGTGAGTTCAGCAGTTGTATGCAGGCAGCCTAATGGCAGGGGATGGAGACAGACTCGAGACTGGACTGTGGCTCAGGTGCTGTTGGTAGCTTTGCTGCTCACCTGTTGGTTGACTCTGCACAGTTACTTCATTTCATGCCTCTGTGCCCTCAGATGGGGACACAGTAAAATGGGGACAGTGATACTGACTTCCTTTGTAAAATGGTTTAAGAAGCATTTCTAGGCCAGAACTGGGAAGCAGTAGTATTTTAATTATCATTATTTTGGTTTGTAGTTATGTAAGAAGGTCAGCTGCCAGGTAGGACTTACGCTACGGCTAGAACGAATGTTTGCAATGCTGATGGGATGTGTCCAATTCCACAGTGCAATTCTGCTGTAGGCAGTGCTCCTCCACCATTTCCCATCCATATATACGTGCACATAAACACATGCCTTGCCCTAAGAGCTTGATGCTAGAGGAAAGTTATCTACACATTGTTGAGCAACATACCTCAGAAGTATGCTTTCTGAAAACCACAAGCAGAGTTCATACAGATCGCAGGCGTGCAGTCCCGCATTAAAAAATGGCTCTTGCTAATGCAATTAAGGCACATGGGGCTGCATCCTTGTCTCGGTGATTTGGTGGCAAAGCTGCCCAGCGCATCAATAAGAGCAAGAGTGGGGTCATGGAGCTGTGCTGTTCTGCTCCGGTCTGTGGTGTGGGGATGACTTGCACCTTTATGCAAAGGGGCACATTTCAAAGAGCTTTTAACACTCTGCTTCCCCCTGGCCTCACACTTTCCTGTGCAAGAGCTGCGATGGGCGCATATTGTTCTTTTGGTGGTTTCACTCTGATCACACAGTGCATGTGACTTGCTATTTGCGGTGCAAGGCAGGGGAATGCTGCTTTTAGCTGACCCCTTCCAATGCAGCGCTCTGTAAATTAGCTCCTCGGCTCCAGCAGAGCACTGCTCTGAGTCTCGCACGCAAACATACATGCAGAAAAGGTCCGTCTGACATTGCTGACGGAAGGCTGACATGTGTACCCAGAAGTGTTCCCTTGCCATACAAGTGCTGGAGTTTGGACGATGTGTGTGGTTCTGGGAACACGTGGACCTCCTCCCTCCTGCCCCCCTCCAGAACTCTTACCTGCCCTGGTGCCTCCCTTCTCCACCAGCCGTAGCAGCCCCTTCTTCTTGAGGATGACGCTGTTTCCGATGAGGAAGCTGGAGAAGACAGCCAAGCCCAGGCCGATGTAGAACCCATAATTGCTTTCCAGCCGAGTTACCCAGAAGTCATCCGAAGTCCCATTGTCCTGGACAGAGTCAGCTGGGTCAGCATTGCCGATCACCCGGCACACGACCCGGTGGGAAAGGCACGAAAGGGTGACCAGTGACCCTGTGAGACCACCATGGAATTAAAACAGCAAATTACTGATATGACTATCAACAGTGCCTCTATTGCTCTTTGGACACAGTCAGATGTCCCTCTGAACAGCCACCTGTGCTGTCACCCTACCAGCACATACCCAGCAACTCTCAAAACCTCAGGACAGCTCTTTACTCGCACGTGGAAATGGCAAGGTGTTAAGGGACAGACTTACGGAGTGCAGTTCAAGCAGCTCGTTGACACTGAATGTGTCTGCCAGTCTACACACTAAACTGGAAGGCCGCAAGGAACACTATAATAATGTAATTTGAATTTCCAAGTATCTATGCCAGAGTGTCTCCACCAATGTTATGAGTTTGAACTATGCCTTATCCACGCTCAACCTTGTTGATTCAAAGGCTTTGGTGCTTTCCAGCCAATTAAGCCTCGCATCTCCCAGCTTCTCTGCAGCTTGCAGCTTTGGGTTTAATGTGGAGTAATGCCAGTACTTTGTGTATCTGTTGCAGCTCTGTGTACCCAGCGGTGCCATGGGATTGCTCCTAAGACAACAACAAACTCGCTCAGACCAAACTTTCATCTGTATGTTGCTTCTAATGGTTTTATTCTACCTGTTTGCAGAGTTCACAAGTGCTCATAAAGCATGCCAAGTCCTGCCAGTGTGGAAGGACTGAAAGCAGACACTGTTTTCTGCTGTTAACACCAAAAGCACTAAGCCCCTGTGTCTCTAGCCAAGGTGTGTTGCTGTGTGTGGGTGGGAAAACTGCTGAGTTTCTTCCTACCCTCCTGCTCCTACCACACCCAGCTCATCTTCCCATTGCAATCTTTACTCCGAGTGTAGTAAAGACAGCGTGACTGCAACTGTGGGAAACAGAACAGCCAGGTGGAGTGTCACAGAAGTCCCTTTGTAGTAAAAGATTTAATTTTCTGCCTGAACTCATGTAGGAATTATGGAGCAAATATTTGTGTCTCTGCAGGCAGGGGTATGCAATGGCTAAACTGCTCACAGTACTGCCAGCAGCCTGGGCACAGGTCCCACCTTTTTCCTGAAGCAAGAGCCTGGATTAGACCTTCTGCAGCTACACCCCATGTCCCCTGCACATGCAGCTGAGGATTTGGATCCCAAATGGATCTGGACTTGTTCTAATGGAAAAAAATTGCAGTGACTTTCTAGATGAGTTTCTAAAGGTTCTCTAAGTTTCTTTTCTAATGGAAAAACATCCTTGATTGTGGAAGTATTTCCTGGGGAATAGGACTGGACAGGACACCTTGCCTCCTCAGCTGGGTAAAAGTCTCTGCAATGTGCTCCTGGGCACAAGCATAGGGCAGTGGGATGGGGTGAATACCAACTGGATTAAGTAATCTTTAAAGGTAAAAAAGTGACCCTAGCTTCTCTGTAAGGCTGACGGAGCGCAGCGCTAGCTGCTGGCAGAGCAGGCTGCGTGGGGCTTGTGGATCAAGGGAGTTTTCCCATTCCTATACAGACCTCAAAAAAAAA